AAAGATGATCATTAGATTTTTAAAAAAGAATAAAATCTCACCATTAAAATTTTAGGTAAAGGTTTGAGTTTCTCTTGATTTAGTACATGCTCTAATGAGGTTCAAATCTATTTTGATAGGATATTTGTCACACCCCATCCCGAGAGATCTATTTAATATTTCAGATATGAAAGTATAACTTGACACATGGTAATATCTACGCCTGTACTACAAAGAATCATTTAAAATCAATAATACCAACCACTAATCTTATAAAAGAGATAAACCATATAGCTCTATAACAGAGTACACAACTCTATAACTCAATACAACACAAAGAATTAGGGAATTCATCCGTTATATCAACAAGGAAACGAATACTCCAGTACCATATGTACATAACCAGTTTCCTTAACCTCTTATATTGACTCTACTAGTGTTGTAGTGGACCCAACTCTAACCTGCGATATCCTAAAATCAATAATTTTCTTGAGTGTACTGCGGATCATAATAAATGAAAATATTTAAAAAAATATATGAATCAAATATTATTCCACTAAAATATATTCACGATCTGAGGAGAATGTCAAAATCAAAAAATTTTAACTTTGAAATCTCATATTCTCTGTCAATATAACAACATAATAAATAGTTCACATGTGCTATGAATCAACAACAATATTTAAGCAATGTCAGGCTATCAACAATATTTAAGTAATATCAGGCTATCTACAACATTTAAGCAATATCAAGCTGTCTCACGACAACTGCGTAATGTCCAAATCAACAACATGTAAGTCATGTTAAGCTATCAACAACTCTAGCATAGTGGATACTACTTAAATCACAAGCTTTTCAACAAACCACAAGCTTTTCAATAAATCACAAGTTTCTCAACAGACCATATTTGATTCATAGCTTAAACAACTCAACTCAAATCAATTCAGCAAAATTGATTTCTCTCATATAAGAGAATAAACTTGATATATCATATAATTCTATTTTTAAGTATTATGAAGCAATACGCTTCACCTGTCACCGCCAACCAACACACCACTTAGCTTTATGCTCGATTCATAGGTGGAATCGATGTAGTAGCCTCCAACCCTAACAATTTGCATATATACAAATGCAAATAAGTATCGACTAAAAATAATTTAATTTATGCAACTAAATGCATATGAATATGCTTCCTACCATCTCGCATTCACCAAAATTTTACTTAAATATTTAAGTCCGAAAACCAACTAGTCACTCAAGCGTTTACGAACTCAGTGAGTACCCTTTATAACCTTAAACTAGAATGTAAAATTTTTTTGTCACTCAATCTATGTGCACTTACAATTAATTTAAAAGGATTTCGCAATCTCATTTTATACAATCAAAACCATTGTTTCAGACTACTGTGTGTTACCGCACTGAAAATTGTAATTTGGATCTGTGATTTCTATCTCTAATTCAAAAACCTAATAATAAGTTTTAAAATATTTTAAACATTCATAAATAATGTAAGACATGATTTCAAAATGAATTTGAAAATTTTCGATTGGTCCAAAATTGAGAAAACCTACCCCTGCACTGTTTTTTGATCCAAAATAGTCAAAAATAAAACGATATTATTTTTCAATGAAATTTCATACAAACACTCAATTTATCTACCTAATAATGAATATAAAATTTATTTTTCAAAAATACCTAAAAACTGGGTCGAATTGACTCCAAAGACCAAAATCGTTATTTTAATTCTCATTTTGATCTAGCTGTTGGATCGACTTGAAATTTTACCAGGACCTTTGCACAAACGTTACGAAATTTTTCGAACAAACCAAAGATTGATCAGAGTTCGGACATGCCTAAAATTTCTATCAGAGTCCACTGATATCCTTCACCCCACTTCACCTTCAACCTTTGATTGTTTGATTTTTTTTCAAAGTGCAGAAATTTATGCTCAACCTTTCCACTTTGACCCCCTAGTTCTTCCACTACAATACTACCATCTCCTTTGATTTCAACATCCACATACTCTTTGGATTTGAATCCCTCTTAGACTCAACATTTGAATTGAATTGTAACATTATCAAATTATTAGTCAAAGTTGGCCAAAAATTATTTTTCAAACACAAGGGGCAGGCTTGTAACTGACCGTTTCAACCCCAAAGCAACCTCTAAATCCAATTCCAAGGCCGAAAATGAATTCCTTGACCCCAAATTAACTAGAACCAAGTCCCTTTCTAAAGTTTAATCAAATTTATCAAAAAAACAAATATTTAAAAATTCCAACCCATGAGGGTTTTTTCATCCCATCACCACACACCATGGCAACCCATGAAATCATTCCCAAACAACTCTATGACAACATATAATCCAATACTCAATTGAAGAAGAAAAAATTGTTTTCTACAAGACTTATTTCATGGAATTTTAAAATTTGAAATTTTAAAACTCAAATTCAAGTATAACCACTTACCCAAATCAAAAATTAACAACACTAATGAATTTTTAGCATCCAAATTAGGCTAGAGGCATACCTTTGAATGTTCAAATAAGCCTCCAAAGCAATCCCAAAAATTCGAACGAAGGTTTCTTTGTCTATCTTCTTTCATTTGTTTCTCTCTCCACAAACAAATTATATACATTCCAAGCTATGGAAGAAGTCTTCAGCACCTCCTCAAACCTTCCAGAGTGTTGGAGAGAGACATGGAGCCTCCTCCTGTTGCCACGCAGTTGCTTGGAAGAAATGTCATACAATGGCATTTCTATAATTACCTGGAATCCGAAAATTAATTTAATTTTTTTTTCATATATATTAAAACATGCACTATAAAAATATTTTCTCAATTTTTTTATATCCACGTCTTATGCATGTATACTTGGGTTTCACAATATTAAAAAAAATTTGAAAGGTATCATAAACTTATTTATGTGATTTAATAATGTATGAAGTTTTATGAAGTTTAAATTTAAAAAAAGTCTAACAATTTGCTTAGGCTGAAATTTTAAAATCTCAATAACATTGTTTGTAATTTAATAACTATTATCACGTGTAAATAAATAGAATGAGGATCCTCAACAAAACGCCGTTTTTATCAATCATTCATATGTAGTTAAAAACTAACTGTAGAAAAATCGAACCCAAATAAGTGAAGTTCATTTGATTGACACGAGTCATATCATCGTTAACGTTACATTGACACAATGCCTATAAAGGCTTATCAATATTAGTGTTTACTATTGTAGCCTTTGGGCGATACTCCATGCTTATTTAGATTTTATTTATCTGAATTTGTGGAGTACTAATAGCTATCTATATTCAATCGGATTCACTATCACACTAACACGAATCATCAAAATCTTAATTGTTTTTCAATTAATTTATTTATCAAAATCTTTTATCGGGCTAATGGGGTGTGGCTGGTCAAGCCATGACCCATGTCCTTAATCAGTGGGCTGTAGTGTTGATTATGGTCCATGGATCGCAAATCCAGCCCTAATCCGGAGAGAAACCATTGGGCTAACGGGGTGGCCCGTGGATCACCGGTCAGTTGGTGCTGATGGATTCTTGGAGTGCCGACAGAGCAAAGGCTTAAAAGAGTTTGACCCCACTCGCTCATGAAGAGCGTGTAAATCAACGGTGGATTGTTAGCGTTAGTTAACTTGGCCATGTCCGACAAAAATCTTCTTTTATTGTCTATCTCACATTGAATGATGCATAATACATGGAAATTAATGTAAATTAATTGTTCACAATTATTTTCTGAATTGTTCAGTGTCACTTATATATAAAAGAGAGAAAATATTAAATAGATTTTAAAAAATTAATTTAAAAATTTAACTCGATAAATCACTATCATTGAAAAGATAATATGTCTCAATTAATACTGGGACTCACAATTAAATTAATGACAAATATAATGACCACATAATCAAATCCAGCGCTTAAGTCTGTGCAACATTGCTATATTTAAAAGTATTTTCGATAAAATACAACCATCAACATAGTTTTCATTTTCACATTAATTTTTACCTTATTTGGGGTGTGAAAACAATTATTTTAAAATCTCATAAGAATATGAAAAACAACCAAGGCCTTGTAAATTAGGGCTCTCAAATTTCCTAAAACTAATTACTTTAACGAGTACGATATAAGGTGGAGATACTGAATACTCATTTTTTTTTATCTTTATTTTGTGTAATAGATAAATAGGTTATTAACTTTTAAAAACTTTTAAGAAAAATGGCAATTTGATTTTAATAGAATTAAGTTAAACTTATTCGTTGGAATAATAAAGTAAATTACATTTGCTGTACTTGTCACACTGGTAAATAATTAATCTAATTCACTTTGGAACTGATTTTCAAGAAATTAAATCTATATTTTTAATGGGTATTATTATTATATAAAACTTAATTTTATGATTTCTAATTGGAATACTACTAAAATCTATGAAATATAATTAACTTATTCAGATTTCTATTCAAAAAAATCGAATTCAAATAACACATAGGACTAAGTATGTCAACGAGTCAGATTTAGATCGACTTGCATCAACCTGAATTTAAATTCATAAAAAAAATTTGATTTGATTATCGAACGAATTTTATTTTCATAGTTCATATTTGAATCAGTTAAGAACTGAATATCTGATTCGAATAACTAAATTTAGTAGTATTTTAAGAAATTATATCTAAATTTCAATTCAATTCTATCAAATAAAAACTTAATTTCATCCTAAATTTATACAGATAAAAATGTGTAATTCAGATCAAATTATAATTGAATTGAATATTAGCATATTTTAATTCAAATTAATTAAATATAATATAACAAAATCAGATTTTATGTATCGATAAAAAAGAATTAATTTATACTCATTTAATTAAATTTAAATCTAAATCTAAATCTAAATCGAATTCGAATTAAAATTTATTCCCAAAATTTGCACGTGATAAAAATGTCAAAAGCCTCGGAGAGTGAAATCATCGCGCTTAAGCCGAGCGTACGATACTTTTGAAAGAAAATCCACCACAAGTGGAACCGATAAATAGATCACCTGCCACCGGTCTCTGTTCTAGTCACAGTTGTTGCCTACCCTTTCCCGCCCTCGTCTAGTCGGAGACGGAGGGACCGTCGTCGATGTCGGTGGTGGTGGTGCTCAGTATCCTCCTCTTCCTCTTCTCCACCGTCGAATCAGCCGACGAATTTGCCGTCGATTCAATCGGCCACCGCCGGCCACAGCTTGCTGGTTTATGTGCTCAGATCCTCCAACCTCTTGGATACCCTTGCTCCGAACACACTGTGATCTCTCTCTCTCTCTCTAGGCGTTCGCTATGATTTTGGTTGTCTGGTAGCTCAGTAAAACTAAATGATGGTTTGTTTGTCAACTGTGGTAGGTTCAAACAAAGGATGGTTACATATTGGGTCTTCAACGCGTGTCATCTAGTTCTGGTTTAAGATATCAAAAGGGTCCTCCAGTCCTGCTTCTACATGGGCTCTTTATGGTGATTTTCTCACTGATCTTCATTTATCTACTGTAATTGTACTTTGTACTTTGTTAGTTTTTTTTTTTTTTTCTACTTCCTCCAATATTTTCAAGTACATATTTGTCGATGGGTTGTGCGTATTTTTATTCTACTTTGTTTTACATTAATTGTGTCCTACACTGCTTTGATATTGATTTTGGACTGTATTGAGTAATACTAAATTGTAGTGACAGGAATTCCATGATATTGTTTTATGTCTATTGAATTAAAGGAATGGAGCATTTAGTATGTGGAGACAAAATTTAGAAAATTGGGGCTGGAAACCTTTAGTTATGATAATCATAAGACCAAAATAGTCATGAATCGGGCTTTGATGTCACGTAGCGAGATTCTTGAAGAAGCAATTAGCAATAGTATGCTGTCTCTCTCTCACACACACACAAACGCACGTTATTCTATCTGCTTTTCCGGGGAATTAGTAGCACTCATACAGGTTGCAAAAAATAATTTGAAATCACTTTCCTTATATTCTTCCTTGATCCTGAAACAATAGGAATACAGTATGCAGAGGAATTTTTGCTGCCTCGAGGTAGGTGTTAGTAGACTTATAAATTGACTTATATTTGGTAGAAATGATTTTGATGTAAAATTTATCAAACCTTAATTCTGAGATCTAAAACTGTTATGATTTTGACATACCATTTTTGTGGAATTAGAACTATCATATTTAATATACCTGAAGCCACTATTGCAAGCCTTGCAACACTTGATCTTTGATCAGTAAATGATCTTCATGTTGACAGGAATCAGTTTCCTTCTCTTGACCTTCTATCTTACATTCCATGGTTGTGATGAGGATTGTATACCTTTATGGGCAGAGATGAGAAATTCCTTATTTGACCATAAGTATATTTACTCATCAATGTAGGAGTGTAAAAAAATTAATTCTCTTTACCGGGCAATCAGATACCAACATTTAAACTAGTTAGATGAGAGTTGGTAACCTCATCATTATAAGATCCTTATTAATTACCAATGTATAATAATTGGATACTCATATGTACCACGCCATATGGTCCACTTTAAGTCTAACATTTGATAGTCGTGACATCTTTTGGTGTGCTATGATAGGGTAGTTTCAAGCAAATGTAAAACAGGTATTTTTGGGAATATGTGCCTCAAAGTGGCATTACAATTGTACAAATCAGCTTTTATTGTATGGAAATGTATTTCATTTGCTAAAAATTCTCTTCATTTATGTCAACATTTTCAGTATGTTGAACTTAGTATAAGTAGTAGATGCATTTGCAGCAGGCTAGTAGCGTAGGCAACTCAGAGAGAGAGAGAGAGAGATCAGCTAAGTTTCCTAGGTGTTGGTGTTTGTTACATCATCCTATTCGTCTACCACAAAATCTTAAGAGATGGGGTCGGGTACGCAACTCTGATCAATTGTGTGCTAAAGCAAGCTTAGCTTCACATGGCCATGAGGAAGCCAAAAAACCCTCTCCTTTTATTGGTAGATGAATCTACTGAAGAATTTGAATACAACATGGTTGAATGCACCATGGGCTGATCCATACACCCACTTCACAAGTGGAATACTAGTTGGTCTCCTATTATTGTCATAATTGGTGTTCTTTATTCAATTTTTTACAGATTTTCAAGGTAACGAGGGGTGCATTTTGATCTCCTATAATATATTTCTTTTATCCTTGTTGCTTGCTCCCTTGCCAAGAATCACTAAATGCTTCCTCTTTAGTTTCATTGACACTCTTTCACATAGGTAAATTTCGTTCATTTTTGTTTTCGTCAAGTATATCTGAGGAACTTATCTATAGACATCTTTAATCCTATGCATATTTGAAATTGAAACAGGCAGGTGATGCGTGGTTTATGGATTCCATGAATCAATCTTTGGGCTTCATGCTTGCTGATCATGATTTTGATGTTTGGGTTGGAAATGTGCGTGGGACGCGTTGGAGTCATGGACATATATTTTTATCTGAGAAAGATAAGGTAGGGGTACCTTGTATAATATGTCTATTGCTTTTTGAAAGTGCTTCGGACTATCATATTAATAACTGACTGATAACATTACAGTGAAAGACATATAACGTATCAGAAAATCCTTGGGTGGCTCTTTTTCTTATAGTATTTTCTTTTGCATTTGCATATACAAGCACAAGAGGATATACATATGCTCACATGTAACTTTTTTTGGTTAGTAACAGACAACATGTGCTGTGGCTGGTCAATTTTTTTTCTTTATAATATGTGTCTACTTCACAACCACATTAGTCCTCGCTTCCTCTTTTAGATACTTCTAAATTATCGAAAAATTTCAGTTGCTGTAAATTTAATAAGAATTTGGTGAGCAGAAACGACTTGGAGTGAATTATTTGGCATCAACATCAAGAAATGGGAATAGACAGCAAAATAACTTCGGCCATTACAGGAAACTAATGCATACATGTAGATTTCTATCTTGTCATGAGCAAATGCGTGTATATTAATGTCTTGCATGGAAATTTTGTTTCGGAAATTGACCGATTTGTTGATTGCGTGCTTGTCTTGAATGGCAATGTGGCAAAGAGCTTTCGTAATTATGTTGTGTGTAGGCATGTTCTGCGTGGCAGTTTTATGATAATAGTTTGTCTATGCTTTTTTTAGGAATTTTGGGATTGGAGTTGGCAGGAGTTGGCATTGTATGACCTTGCAGCAATGATCCATTATGTAAATTCAGTTACAAACTCAAAAGTTTTTACCGTTGGGCATTCACAGGTCTTCATCTCTCTGCACCTAACCTTTTTCTAATTAGTTTATCTGTGGGTTCTGTTACTTCCTTATTATGGGTTCCATGTTTTACAGGGGACGATCATGTCTCTGGCTGCTTTTACTCAGCCAGAGATAGTGAAAATGGTCGAAGCTGCTTCACTTCTTTGCCCCATATCATACTTGGATCATATTACTGCTCAATTTCCTCTGAGATTGGTTAAAATGCGTCTGGACGAGGTACTTTAGTTTCTTGATGTCTATTGGCGTGAGGAAACAATTTCATAGTACTGATATATTGGTTCTCACTTGACAGGTGATTCTTGCATTGGGCATTCATGAACTTAATTTTAAGAGGTCTTACATCTTTTTGTTTCCTGTTTCTGCGTCATTTTTTTTTAGCTTTATTAGTGATGCTAGTGTTAGTTCATGATTTACATGTAATGGATGCAGTAATATGCTCACTGGCCTCATAGATATGGTATGTGATGGACATATGGATTGCAACGACTTGCTAACTTCCGTTACAGGTTTTTCTTACTCTTCTTCCGTTTCTCACATCATTCCAGCCTCTTCTTTTCTTTGTCCTCCTGCATGAAAGTTTTGTGTGTTGCCAGTATGGAGTCATTTACTGATAGTGGTCTTTCTGTTTGAATTCTCTATCTGAAGGGAAAATGTTGCCACCTCAATAATTATATAATACAAGTTGATGACGTTCGCCAAGTGGTGCTACCACCATGTTATAAAGACCCTCCTTTCCCTCATTTGGGCATTTGGTTGGTAGTGCTGCCCGACATTTTCAAAATTTCTTAGTGTAGTTGGTTGGGTTTGAGTTTGGTGGATACCGCTTTGTACAAAATTGACGTGATGGTTAGGCCTAATACCCGCTTGTCCTTTGCTACACCCTTATTGGTGTGACAACACTGGTTAATGGCCTATTATTGCTGACTAGCTTGGCCAGAGCTTATAGTCTTTAGCTACTCACACGGACAACTGGCATTGAATTCCGCCTTTGTCCAAGTTTGTTTTGTCCAAGGAGAAAGGGAGGGCTACCCTCCCGATATATGTTTTTTGCCTTAACCATGTATGCCTGAATTAACAAGTTTGGAGACGTTGGAGCACTAAAATAGTAAAATAGATAATGAATTAAATTTCATAAACATAACAAAGTTGACATACTGGGTCATGAACAGAGGAAACAAAGCTTTTTTTGAGAGATGGTGGTGTGCCATAATTTTGGATCTGCTTACTAGATTGTGATCTTACGCAATAAAGTTAGACATGCATGGCAAAGCTATTTCCGTGGAAAACAGTTTATTGGGTATGTAACAGTATCCATTATATCTGGAGAACATTAAGTCTTCATTATACTCTCTGTCGGGTAGTAGGTGAAGGTTCAAAGGTAAGTGTGCCCGATAAACTTCGTTGGACATCCACACACCAAGAGCCAATTTGGGTGAAGTATCAACCATTTTGCATCAAGATCCACACTTGAAACTAGGAAAGACTGTAACGGGGCTGAAACAACCAATCTCGTAGTGAAATCAATATTTGATATGGTTTTAGGTGAAGCAGTCAGTTGTCATCAGATTCAAATGTCATTTGTTTTTCATCACTCTTGTACATGAACCACACCCATTAAAAACTCAATTTACTTTGCAGGGAAAAACTGTTGCTTCAACAACTCTCGGGTAGATATATATCTTGAATATGAACCGCACCCATCTTCCTCAAAGAACTTGAACCATCTTTTCCAGAGTATGCGCTCTTCACTTCCCTCTTCCCTCCAATATCTTGTCACTTTATTATAATTTCTTGATGGTTTATCCCAACCCTCTTTTTATGGCTTGCAGTGATTCGTAAGGGTACTTTTGCAAAATATGACTACGGAAAGTTAAAAAACATGAAGAAATATGGGCAATTGAAACCCCCAGTATTTGATCTTAGTCACATACCTGATTCATTGCCATTATGGATGGGTTATGGGGGACTCGATGCCTTGGCAGATGTGAACGATGTGGAGCACACTCTAAAAGAACTGCAGTCGAAGCCTGAATTGCTTTATCTGGAGAACTATGCTCACTTAGATTTTCTTTTGAGTGTAAGGGCGAACGAAGATGTGTATGATCATATGATTAGATTTTTTAAGTCACTGGGAAAGGTTAGTAGTTCTTAACTGACTGATTTGTGCAAATGTGAGGATCACGATGTATGTATATATACATATTTTTAATCGTATCTGTATTCGTGTTTGAACTTTTATATTGTTATTATATGTTAACCAGTAAATGTTTTCAAGCTAATAGAATTTTACAGTTCTATATATAAATACTAACAAAACATATACATGAATTGCCGAAGTTGCCTAACATAGCAGTTTTTTCGTATATAGTCAAATTTCCAAACGTAGCATTCAACCATTGGCACAAGACTCATTCCTTGGCTTTCTTCATAGAAACATTCACACTTAACCTCTTGACCTCCGCCACAAAAGCTTTCATATTTTGATCGGAGGAGCCACCCTCCTCCACCGCCTCCTCTGCCGCCTTCTTCCACTTCAAAGCATTTTCCTTCATCTCCGCGGCCTTTGGCCCGTTGGTAGCCTCTCGCAAGCACTTCTCCACCTCGTCCCTAGGTATTATCCTATTCTCAGCCTCACCCCTACACATTCTAATCCCAACTTTGAACTCGTCAACCAAGTATTTGGCATCAGTAACTTGATCACCCCATTGAGGAAACGCCACCACGGGCACGCCACTGGAAATTGCCTCCATCGATGAGTTCCAACCGCAGTGTGTCACGAAACACGCCACCGAAGGGTGGCTGAGCACTTGCTCCTGTGGACTCCATTGCACCACCTTTCCCTTATCACCTGCGGCTTCCAAGAACCCATCTGGTAAAACTGGAAAAAAAAAAAAACCACACACCATTCGTCAAAAAATGGAGAAATATATACTTGATTACTATCCTATAAAAGTGATTTGTATGCTTCTCAATGATAAATATATATAACCCAAGGCAGCTTAACTAATAATAGTCACCAATAGTATTAAAAACCGAGTTAAATTTTATAAATTCGAGTCGAGTCTGTCGAGTTTATTTTTTTAAAAGAACCTAAAATTTTTTTAAGATTGGCTCGTTTAAAAAATAAATTTAGCCAAATTATAGTCGAGTTCAAGTAACTTGACTATTTTATATTAAAACTAAGCCACTATTTATTATAAATATTCTACTCTTAATATAAATAATTTGTGCAATTAGTATCAACCTCAACACCTTGAGGTTTGAACAAAAAAAAAAATGATAAATATATATATCAAACGATACCTGACGCTTCAAAGCCGGAGTCTTTTTGGGGTGGCCTCATGACCCACAAGAAGGAGACTTCTGATTTCAAAAGTCCATAAGCAATTTCATGGATTTGCCCTTGCTTCAAGCTGACAACGCTGCCAAAAGAGATGTACACGACGGAGGAGGGAGGCTTCGAATCGAGCCACCCGACGCAGTCGTCGGCCTTCAAGAAGTCACCACGAATGGCTGAGCTAATAGCTTTAGGGTTCTTACATAATGGGCCAATGGGTTTGATAGGGCAAAGCTTTGACATGTACTCAATAACCTCATGTTCAAGCTCTTGAAATGTGTCCATTAATATACAAAAAGGTTTTGACAAGTTCTTGTACTGACCCAAAATGGCCCTCCTCAAGAATGGATATGGAGTTGAAGGTTGTAAAAAGCTAGGTACTTCATCATATTTCAGTACAGGCATGGATGGTAATTGAACATCAATTTCGGGTTCGATTTCACTAGGAAAAGGCACTGTTTTGTGATAATAGTGGTAGTAAGTTGATAAGCAAGCACAAGATTGCACCCAGAGCATGGCACTGGGGAGGCCAAGAGTCTCGGCGACGTCGGAAACCCAAGGAATAAAGGGGTTGTTTACGAGGCATGAAACTGGGCGATTTTCCTCCTCATGTTTTTTTATCATACGAGGGAGTACCTGTGTAAGAGAATGGAAGCGATTAAAGGAAGTGATTCGAGAAATTAAATAGATTCATTATGCCAAAAGTTTTGTCGAACTAATAAGTACTTCAATCTATTTTTTAAATTTCAGTAACATTTCTTATGAAAAAATTAGAAAACAAAAATAAAGTTATGTTTCCTAATGAGAGAACCCTTTTTTTTTTAGGTTCACGGGCTACTTTAGTTTTCGAAAATACAAAAACTCCACAAACTCGTGTTATAGATTATATACCTATAATATAAACTATAAGTGACTTTAATAAATTTGTTCGATCGCAAATAGATTTGTTTAACGGCCACCAATATTTCTTTCAAAATTATTTATATTATACTGTAGTTTCAGATACAAATTATTCTTTATAACTTCAAAATCATGTATATTATATTGTATCTTCGTATACGGATTAGCCTAGTAACTTCATAATAAAAACTCTTATTTTATGTTTTCCACTATACCTCCTTTCCAGTGAGTTCAATTTGAGGCATGTAGGCATCAAGATCGTAGCGTCTGGGATCGTCTTCATCCCATCCATCTTCGAAGAATTCGAACCTGATGAAGCCATCACCTACCGGAGTTGGTTCGTCGGTGATGTTGCTGGCTTCTCGCATTTGTTTTCCGATGCTTTCCGGTGCCGAGAAGGTGACAAGCAGACCTCTGGAAGCAAGTCGCTTGCCAAGTCTAAGTAGAGGGTTAACATGTCCTTGCCCTGGAAAGGACACTAGAAAGACATGAACAAGAGCATCACTGCCCATTTTTTCTCTGCTTGGTGGAGAGAGATTGAGATAGATAGCTTAGACAACGAGAGAGAGAGAGAGAGAGGGGATGAGAGGGCAATGGCAGGAGACTGCAGCCTTATAGTGTTAGAGAGATGTTTCAATTCGAGTTTTCCCTTTTTTTTCCGGTTCGACAGTCGGGAACTAGTTTTTGCAGATTTTGATTAATTCTTTTTTAAATCTGGTCAAAGTCATGTTATCCACCCTAAAATTAAGGTATTCATAAAAAATAAATTTTTCATGACATGACTTTTAAAAAATTATTAAAATTCAAATTTATCTAAATTTATATTTTATTCTTATTATCACTTGAGTTCGATTCAAATTTTCCGAGTGCATTGGACTGTTAGGTAGATGTCTTTAGCAAAGGTTGACAGTTTGGTTAGAAAGGCCAAGGCAAAATTGATATGTACTTTGTTTATCAAGTCCATATCAATGCAACCACGTAGACTTGGAATATTAAGCATTAATATACAAGTCTATCTTCTTTTTTCTAACTAAAAATGGGACCATATATAATATAATAAGACAATTACGAAGGGGGTTCCAAAATTTAATATAAGTGTGAAATGGAATTTTTAAACGAGATCTAAAATTTTCTTTTATTGAAATATAAAACGAGTTTTAAACTTTTGGATTAATAAATCAAACGCCAAATCGTTGCATTACTTAGATAGCACTGTCACATTGTGTAGTCATGAGTTTCGTAGGAAGGATGATGGCCTCTCTCAAACACATCACAACGAACATCAAATAGAACAATGTCTACTTGATGGTACAAGAAACAGTAAGTGAAAGAGATTTGAGTGCCGACATATTATGTGTGTGAATTGCTTGTGTAATAAACCACGAAGTAAGAAAAATAAATTAGAGTATAAGTGGTTCACCTTAATTCACTGTCAATAGAGTCTTTTGCTCATGTGTTCTTTGAATTATTCGGATATCAATTAAAAAATAATAAGTGCAACAATTTTACACATGACCCAGAAAAGAAAAAGTTTGTGTGGCCTTGGTTTGCAATTAGAAAAGGATTGTGTCATTGTGAAGTTTGTGTGGCCTTGGTTTGCAATTAGAAAAGGCTTATGTCATTGTGAAGTTTGTGTGGCCTTGGTTTGCAATTAGAAAAGGCTTGTGTCCTTGGTTTGCAATTAGAAGAGGCTTGTGTCATTGTGAAGTTTGTGTGGCCTTGGTTTGCAATTAGAAAAGGCTTGTGTCATTGTGAAGTTTGTGTGGCCTTGGTTTGCAATTAGAAAAGGCTTGTGTCCTTGGTTTGCAATTAGAAAAGGCTTGTGTCATTGTGAAGTTTGTGTGGCCTTGGTTTGCAATTAGAAAAGGCTTGTGTCATTGTGTGGCCATGCATGTTGAATTAAAAAATAAATTTATCCTTCACGAATATTTTACTTCAACGTGGATGACATATCTTTAATCAGATCAAAAAAAAATTAATTAAAATACACGTAAACTGATCTAAACACTCCTGAACATTGATCTAAAAAAAAGACGATAGTTAGAGTCCAATGAAAAGATTGATTTTAGCCAAGCTTCTAGGATATCGTCTATTCAATTATGCCTAGTCATATATTAATTTTTGCATTAGAATATGAATTCAATAGTTAAAGGTGAGATACGTGTAGATTTGTTGGGTTGACTAGTCAGCTCAAGATGATCAATACAAGATATAAAATTCTCAATCCAAATTCAATTCAATTTAAGTATCAATCTAATCTTTTTGTCTCCAGAATCGCACGAATTATATTTTTAACTCGATTTATGCAAGTTATAATGCAATTCTGGTTTTAATTTAGGTATGTACTTTATTTTTTGGTGAAAAATTTTGCAGTTTCAATTTTTTGCATAGTTATTTATTTGTAAATAAATTATATACGTTACTATAAATAATTCCGACAAGGTACATGATTTGAGACCGAGACTTCACATCAGAAAGTTAATATAATTATAACTTTATTAAATTATATTCATTGAATTCAAATAATACTCGAATTAAATTAGGATAACCGAATAGCAAAGAATCTCTCATGCATCTACAGTTGAATTCCAATTAAAAAATAACTATTTTCCTATATCGCAAAATAAAAAACAAATTAGAAGGATAAAAATAAAAAACAAATTATAAAGATAAATCCTCCAGAAGAATGCCTGGTCTGCTGTGGTACCCGAGATGGATAGGGTTCCCTTTTACCAACCCAATGAGCCGATAAAACTACAAGAACTGGTGGGGCCCAATAAACGATCATGATATATATTTTTTTTTAGTTAAGGGTGTTCAGATTAATTTATGTATATTTAATTAATTTTTTTTTTTAAATTTGGTTAAAGTTAGGTCATTCACATCGAAATTAGGATATTCTTGAAGAATAAATCTCTCAAAATTTAATATTATGAGATGTTAAAATTTGAACTCAAGACGTCTGAATTTATAAATCGACTCTATAGACTCTATTACTACTTGGAGTTAGACATAATATACGAGAGTGCCAACA